GGAAAGCATTTTCCTGGAAACGTCCGGCATGTCTTTCTGGAAATCCCGAAAACGGCACACACCGTATTTCTGCATAGCGACCATGGCCAGAACAGACCATTTGTCTCCTATCTGGGAGAGGATATCCCGTACGGGACAAAAACCTTCAAAATTTGCCATAAACTATCTGTCTGATAATCACTAATTGTTACTCCGCGGTAACTATTGTACCTTCCTGTACCGTCTTGCAAGACTTCTCCAAAGGTGCTATCTTTGTGCAAAGATACAAAGTTTCCATAAGAAACAAATGTTGAAAACCAATAAAATATAATAGACATGAAAAGGATTGAATGCATTAAGAAAGGGAACAATTATGAAGCCCTCAACATCGGTTCATGGAACGAAGTAATCGATTACGAACTTCCGATGGGACCTAGTGTTCTCCAGGGGAAAGTGTTCGTCGGACAGGCCGTTGGTGCGACGGGCAGCGAGTTAAGCTTCCAGACGCTCGTTCCCGGCCAGGACAGCGGTTTCCTCCACACGCACAAGACACATGAGGAACTTTACATCATCATCAAGGGTGAAGGACTGTATCAAGTCGATGGAGAAATCTTCCCGGTACGCGAAGGAACGGTCATCCGTGTATCTCCTGACGGAAAGCGAGCTCTGAAGAACAACGGCAAAGAGAACCTGACGATGCTATGTATCCAGTACAAGGCCAATGCATTTGGAGGAGCCGACAGCCCCATGATTGACGGGACTATTCTCCAGGAACCTCTTAACTGGTAATCATGGCGACCGTCACTACGCTGGCCTACAAGGACGTCAAGACCGTCATGACCAAATCCTCCCTGCCCGTGGGAGGATACTCCGTCAATCCTTATGTGGGTTGTCCGCATGCTTGCCGATACTGTTACGCCTCTTTCATGAAGCGTTTTACCGGTCATACGGAAAAGTGGGGCACGTTCCTGGATGTGAAAAACTGGCCGCGCATCACCGATCCGCACAAATACGACGGGCAGCGCATCGTCATCGGCTCCGTCACCGACGGCTACAACGAGCACGAGG